GATCACTGGAAAATGTGTAACGAAATATTTATCGAACGTTTCAACCGGTCGGAGCGATAAAAAAGAAATTGAAAGACAGGCGTTTTCTGCAAGCTTCTCGTTGGAGCCCGTAACGGAAATTTAAACGCTGCGTTTCTCGCGGATCTCGATAACTCTTACGAGGCTGTTTAGAAACGCGACCGCGTTCGAAAAAGTTGCTGGAGCTCTCGGTGGAGATAGCGTAAAGCGAGGGAAAGATCGTTTGTTCTTTTAATCGTCGGTATCGTGTGTTGCCGTGCGGTCGCGTGTATCACAGAGATTAATCAACTTCTACGAGCTGCGAGTTTCCAGCCGCGGTAAACGTAATCATTGTCGCGGCACGATGGCTCAATCGTCTCTGTAATAACACGGTAACCACGGTTGCAAATGTTCTTCGAATTCCAGTTTATACGGATACGGATATTGTTCCAAACTAAAAAGCGTACGGCCGTCTCCGACATCGTCGTACGATCGTAAGAAATATATATCACCGTGTCGACGTGATAATTTAACAGCAACCTACCATCGTCGGTCGAATAACCGATTTCCCGAGATCCAAGATCACAAATTTTATAGCATTTAGCTATTATTTGCGAGCAACACGAATGCGTAAACTTGTAACAAATACCGCGATGCTTCGATATTTTGACCGGTCTATTGAAACGTAATTGGAAACTTTTAAACAAATCGTGTAATATTTTGCACAGTCGCGAACGGCGTTCAACGCCGATTAAGTAACTAATTATATGGTATACGGGTTTAGAAACCGGTAATTACTGGTTCGCTTCGAGTAATTTTTTTTATATAACTGTTGCCCCGCAATGTTATTAATTGCGCTTAATGCAAGCACGAATTACACGTATGCGCACACATACGGAACAATGTTTAGCGTCGAAGGAACGGTCTGCTCGAGATATCGAGTAGCATAGAATCGTTGTTATATAAAGCGACCATTTAAAACAGTGACTGTCGCGCGTAGCAAATGCTGTAGATTATAACTAATAACGAGTACCGGTTGGTGACCGAACGTGTGCACGTCGGATCGCTTAACCGGTGGACGACTCTGCGACAGCGTCGTTGAGCTACAAATTGGGATTTTCCAAACGAGCGACCGAACTTCTTTAGAAAACTTATTACAAATCGAGTCTTTCCATGCTTTGGTCGACCTTCGCGGAAAATCGTTTTACAGAAAATTTGTAAAAATCGACTCGTTCGGCCAGCTTTTCGGGGCGAATGTTCCATGGCGCGACGTTCGGATGATTCATGCTTCGTACGCTATAATCTACGACTCGACGCGGTCGTGCTCCTTCGTTCCTCTTCGACTCCTTTCCCGCTTTCGTCGGTTGTCGGTGTTCCTTTCTTGGGATAATCGCGGTTCGCAGCGCCGCGCTGTATCTATCGATCGTCTCCATTAACTAGTCCGTTACACAACGAACTAGAACTATTGCCAAACAATAGATTATGCCGCGGCTGTGCGCCGTCGCTCGGCGTGTAGGCCGGGTAGGGATCTGCCTTATGCAAGCGTTACATACATTTGGTTATATTACCGCTATTACGTAAACCGGATTACAAGGCGAAGGGAGAAAAGTGTTACAAATTGTCGATATTCAGGGTACTCGTCGATACGGTTCATCCGGGTTACGTGAAGAAAATAAAGGAAACTGGTCGTGGTACCGGCCGACCGTTGCACAATTCGTGGGGTAAAAGTTGACCTCGCGTTCGGCGAGCCTGGTTATTCTTTCTCGGTTACCCGCATCGATCTCGATTTCGGAAGCACCGGTGTTTTAAAAATGGACTCTTTGCACCGTAATATGCACCGATCGACGCGTAAGTGTACGAAGCAACTTTTAGTTGTTACACGCATCCCCCTGTCGATCGTAACGATAACGTAACTAGACAATCGTATTCCATATATAGGAAACATTACGAACGTCGTTAACGGTGTTCGCATTAAACGCGTAAAGTAAAGCCTTTGTTAACATTTTTATCGAAACGCGTAAACTTTACGTAGTAACAAATATCGAAAATTCGAATCGAACGTAAAATGCGAAGCGGAAAATAAATAAAGAATAATTTCGATCGAATCAAGATCGCTCTTTCAAAGGAGACCTTGAAAGGTACGTTCGGTAATACGTATCCGTTAAGATATTCGTGTATTATAGACATTTTTCAGATTATTCGAGCCAACGAAACTAATTTTTTAATTTTCTAACCTACTTTTAACCGTGTTGGCAATAAGTAACACGTATCTCGTGGTACGATCAATTTTAAGCGAGACGCGCGTGTGCCGGCTACGATTATGAATTGTCAATTACATCATTGAAATCAAATTATGTAACGCGCTCGTAGTCTAGGCAGGGAAAGTAAGCCACGACGAAGTTGCGTTTAATAAAAGTTTTTGTAGCGCCAGGTACCATGGATAACAGAAAATCCGATACTCTTGTAAAAGTAATTTCTCGATACCTTGCTCTCTTGTAAAAATTTCATAACGTTAAGTACTCGTTGCACCGTTAACCCTCCCTATCTTTTATTTCTAAGACGGCCTTCGAAGTTATCGGTTATATTTCGATAACTTCTAAATGTTGCTAAACTTCGATCTAAAATGTATTTGCAACAACCATTTTCTATTTTAACGCTTTATTCGTCGGGCGCATTCTACTAATTCTCTTAAAACCGAAGATCGACGGCCGAAAACGTTTAAAAACAATTCTACAACCCTATCAAATTATTCGCGTATCGATACGATGTAACAAATTCTTATTAAATTCTTATTTCAAGCATCGCTCGCACATGCTGAAAGACACGCACAGACAGGTTTCTGGTAAATAAAGCGTTCTTTCTCTGGATCAGCGATAAACGTAAACAACTTGGCTGTCGACGCGTCGAAACGAAACTTGGCAATTGTTTCTTCGCGAACGTGCAGTATCTATTGTTTATCCGTTCAAGCGTCGATTTCGGTTGCTCCGTCCGACCGTTGCGCGTCGATCGACGAGACCGACGAACCCGACAAATTTCATCGTTCCGAGAAGCTGGTAACGCGCGAATCGATACGGAAAATTCGAAAAACGATACGGTTCCCGTATTTCCAGACGACTTCCGGTCAACATCGAACGTTCGAAGAAAGACGTTACGGATAAGGCGAGCGGAATCGCTGACTTTGAAACGTTCATGGCATATTACGAAACGGGTCTGCTTACCTTGTAGCGTCGCGTTATATAGGAGAGGGTCAGTACTGCCATTCGCGCGCATAAGAGCTTGGTTACATGAGCGTGTAAATATTTCGCTTACGACGAATGGTTCGTACGTTGTGTTATGCGCACCTCTCCCAGTGCCTTAAACCTCGAATTACGTAAGCGTCATCGTTTGACGTTTATGTAACGTCGTTCCACGTTACCGACGAAATCGGACGTCGTCGGCGTCGAACGAGAAACACCGTCGAAACTCGAGGGGACCCGTTCCATCGGTTCGTTCCACGAGTTTGTCACCGTTTAGGAACGAATCGGGCAACCGACTCGTTCGATTTTCCAACTTGCCCGGGCACGCATCTGGCACACGCGAGCAGAGGGAAAGGTTCTCCTACCCGAACGTGTTTCGGCTCGCGGGTTTATCAACGCGCGAGGAAGGTGCGCGCAGACCCTCGTCGGCCACCTCACCTGCCGTTTCGGAAACAGCTGTGCGCGTTATGTACACGCGATCGCGTTGGTTCGAGACGGCATCAGCCTTCGGCGGTACATACTTTCCGACGAATTCACCGTAATTTTTATACGGCTAAATATAAAATAGCTACCCATCGCCGTTTCGTATCGCCGTTTATTACGAACGTATTAATATCTCCGGCCCGTGCGTATACTCTCGAAACGACGATCTTACCGCCAGCTGCGCGTCGTATCTATGCATTTGCGAACACTCCGCCATGCAACGCCATTTTCCTTACCTAAATTCTGTATTTAACCCTACCGATTGAAAAAATAAAGTCTACGAAGGTAGAAATTAGGCTTCTTGCTTACAAGTTGTTGCAACTTCCACTGGTATTTTCAAAATTAGTCTCCTCGTTTCGCTCGGAAATGCTGCACAAATCTTCTTCGCTCTCGTAAAGTACCTAGTGGCGACATCTTGCGGCGAACCGTAGCACTATCGCGGAACTGGAAGCACGACGAGGTATATATAAGATACGGACTCGGGATCCGTGGAAACCTTGAACGCGACGTTTTCTTTTTTCGTCGAGGAATTCGAATTACCGACTCTGTAGAAAATGCTTGCTGCGATATTCGCCACTCTACGTTATCTCGAGCGGATATAATTATGGACGCTTCCGTCGGGAGCGATGTACGTATAATTCTGTGAATGTGACGAACCACGCTGCGCACGTTGTACCAAAGAAACGGAGAACAATTGTTACACGATATAAAGTTGTTTGCGAAATATTTTATTCTATCGTGTCCACTCATGGTCCGTGCTCGTCGAAGAGCGTAACGCTTTTTAAAATAACCTCGACTTCTCGGATACCAGAACTTTACGACTCGACCAGACTCGTAAGATACAATGTCCGAGGCTGCGAGCAGAGGACGCTTAAATTACCGTTGAATTTCCACGCCGGTACGGCAGCCACGGTTGGTAAAAGTCAAACGATTCGTCCGTTCCGCGCTCCGTTCACGATCGAATTCCAGTCTCCCGCGGTATACGCGCATCTTCTTTACCCTCGTAAAATAGCTAGTGGCGACATCTCGCGGTAATCACGCGCGTCGTCCGTGGTGGCGACGCAGCACGGATCTTAACGATACCGGCGCAAGATATCTCCGAAAGGAGTCCTGCGCGAACCACACCGGGTAAACCGCAACTTTCATCGACGGTTTCATCGAAATCTTGCGGATGGCAACGCCATAGCGGCGCGAACGACGCTCGCGGCGATCTAGAATTGAATGAGAGTAGAATCGGGGAACGGTTCGGCGACACGGCGCCAAGCCGGCCGGCATTTCGTGTACCGCCGTCGGGTCGCGCGGACGTTCGAGGGACGCTCCGTTTCGCGCGGTGTCGTGTCAGTGCCAGTTGGACGTACCGCGAACCGATTAATCCGCTTCGCGCGTTGCGAATATCGAGCTCCGTTGTCCGGCGTCCATCGCGACAGTCTTCGGTGAAGCGAAACACAGTTTCCATCGGTCTTTAGTGCGCGGTGGATCGTTCCGAGGATGCGCGTCGCGCGAATAATCCCCGAACGCGGGTATATTCCTTGATATCGAGTGCGCGGAACGGTGTTGTCGTTGCAGTGCAGTGTTCCGGGCCAGGTAATTCCGGGCCTCCCGATCGGTTTGGAATGGCGCCGCAGGATTCGCTGGGTAAGCAAGCCGACGGAAATCTCTCGGTGGTCGGTATCCTCGACGGTTGCGATCTCCCGTTCGCGATCTGGTGAGGTTCGCGCGCGCGGAATCGCAGGGAGTCCCGCTGTGTTCTTCGTTCGGTGTTGTGCGCGAATGAATGTGCCGGTCCCCCCGCGGAAGAATCATGCCGTTCGTGCTGCGGAAAGTGGAGCCGCGCTACCTGTGCCGCGGACACGTGCCAACAGGATCGGTCCCGCAGGGCTGGCCGGTCGGCGCCGAATTGGAGGCGGTCTCAAACGGCGCGCTGACCGTCTCCTTGAAACAGTTGGCATCCCTGCTCACCACCGCGGAGAACATCTTCGCTGACCTGACCGCCGAGCTGACCGCGGTCGCCGATCGCAGCAGTCGGCTCCGACAGAGGATCGACAAGGTCGAGGAACGTCTTGCCTTGGTCGATCCAAAGAAAATACCAGTCCGTAAGTGCCAACCTTCGCTCTGTCCGAACCGTGAACCGTGAACCGCGACCCGCGACCCGCGACCCGCGACCGGCCCGATCGGGTTTGCAGTTCGAAAACTACGTCTCGAACGAGAAGAGATCGTTCTGTATTCTTTTCGTGTCATTTCATTTTCACGAGGAATCACCCGGTGCCCGCTTCTACATGCTTTCACAGGGTCGCCGTGCATATTAATCGCAAAGTTACGGCTCTCCTGCCAGACGTCCGAGGGACCACCCGATCGGGCGTCTCGATTCGTGAATCGATAACGACGGTTCGATAGCGTTTATTAAGAATAATTCTTGAATAATTGAAAGCGTGTTTGGTACGGTTCGAAGTTCGAGCTGGACCGAACATTTGAATTTTTACCGCAGTACCATGTGCAACCGCCGCGCAGCGGGGTGTTTGCCCGATCTGGCCGACCGGAAATCAATTTCGCCAAACTCCTTCCAGGTGAAAATAACGCGCTATTCGACAGGATCGAACGGATGGAGTACAGAGCGCGATTGTTTCGCGTTTACGCTACTACCGTGCAACGTATGGTTTGTCCGTACTTCTCGATCGACTGCAATAGTTTGTGTATTTCTGTATTCGATGTTATTTGCGATAGTAGAGTTTCCAAAGTGATCATAATTCTCCAGAAACATTGAAATCGATTATAGATTATTCCAAAGAGGGTTAAATCGGCTCGCGAGTATAATAATTGCATGTACTTTAATATTACTCCTCGGTCTCGAAGTCGTTAAATAATGGTCTTCCAGTATTTAGTTTTAGGTCATTGTACAGGGAAAAATTTCAATTGTATTATAATAAGAAATAATATGTATATATAATTAATAATAATAATAGATAATTAAATCTGGTATGGACAATGGTAAGGAATTTGGAGGCAGCATCCTTTCGTTATAAATTAAACTTAAGTTAAATTATATTTCGATGGTACTCTGTACAAATATCGAAACGATCGGGAGGAAACAAAATCATAGTTTTCTTCGAACTTGGACCGTAAGCGACTGGGTAGCCAGGTTTCGAGCTAATTAGAAATAAAAATATCGCACCGTGGGGCGCGAGACAAGCGGTCCTTTGTCAGCGATCTCTGAGAACGGGAGACCCCTCGGAAAGTCGGTGCAGCAGGTAAAAGTAACGCTCTGGCAGATAAAGGAATTCTTCTCGCGCTTGTTCGAGAACGCGGAGATATACGAAGAACGAACACGTCGACGTTGCGCCGGGTGAGAAAGGAAACCTTCCTAAATGGAGCAAGAAATCGAATCGACGGTTTACGGAAACGCGTAACAGTTTCGCACGCGCGAATAGCGCGTAGGATCGAAGATAAAAATAATAAAGATCGTTAAAAATCTGAACGAAAACCGACGAGTGCACCGGACGTAATTTTTAACTTTTCTCGTTTCGTGTACAATTAACCGAGGAGCTCGTAAAATAGAAAAAATTGCCTCCTACATACCTAATAACCCGACAACCTGTCGTCGGGCGTTTTTCTAAGTTCATTCGTAAGTTCGTTCGTAACGTGCAAAGTCTCCCCGATTCTTCTTTCGTTTTTATTTCAATCGTTGGATGCCATTTCGATGCTTCGGTTGCGAAAAACCCGATAAAGTGGCTTCACCTTAACATTTCGAGTCTGTTCGCTGGAAGCGTTTAACGTTCCTCCCGAGTCGACCGTGCACAGAGTGCGCGCGCGTGTTAGCAAACTGGTATTTGCACCGGAGATTCTTGGAATCTCGCGAAACCGCCTGTGAAATCGATCTCCCGATTGGACCGTCGTCGCTGTTCGCCGATTCGTTCGGTCTCGAGGGCGTCCCGCGTGTCTGGCCACGAAAAGCCTTTTCAAGGGATGCACCGGATATGCGCCTAAACGCGACCGATAAATGCGCGATCGATCGAAACGCGTCCGTCGAATAATGCGCGCGTTCGTCGGGGGAATACGCTTGGAATTCGCATCGATGTACGAACGAGTTTGGAATCGCGGTTGAATATCAGATTTTTTACGATTCGAATCGCTAATTTCTAAGCAATAAAAAAAATATAACCGTTTACCCACCGATGGGGTCGATGCGGCGACGCTAAATTATTATCTTTCGTTTCGATTCGACTTTGCGCGACGGAATCGCAATTTTGTGCCAAGAGTTAAGAGTCGAGCGAGCGGTGTTATCGTAACGGCGAAACCGAAAAGAGAATACGGAATTTGTCGACGAGCGAAATCGTTCTGCGAGGAACGTTGGCAGCAGCACCGACGGCAAGGGGGACGAAGGGTATATCCGTGGAGACCCACGTTACGTGGAAAACGGTCCGGGGTTACCTGGCGCGCGTACCGTGGGAAACGGTTCTCTCGACGCTGAAAGCGAGTTTCACCCGTGGACCAAGGATTAGCTGCCGCCGATGCTGGTCCGTTAAAAAGACGCCCTTGTTCCGATCCCACTCGGCTCCGGGATAAGATGGCCGAGGTTCCGCCAGATAAAAATACGTCTTGCCGATGGCGTCCGCGCGACGCCTTTCGATCCGAAGCTCGCAGCGAAATATACGTATAACCGATAATTAATTATCGGCAGTTCCGCGTAACCTTGACACGGCATAGCACTGTACCGGTACCATGGTACGCTTTGCAATCGATATCTTGGAAAAGATGAGAACGAAAGAAGACAAGGATGTGCACGGTACCGTCCGACCGAACGGTGATTCGAGATTCGACGCGAACGAGCCTCGCGTTCGACGCGTTTTCGAATCGTTCGCGAACTTTTCATCGATAACCAAGTTCGTGCGAGAAACGACATTTCGATTTTAATACGTCGATGATCGTTCGCGAGATATCGCGTACACGGTGGTGTAATAAAATGCGAGATACGTCGAACAGATAAGAAAGTTGAAAGACGCTAAAAGGTGAAAGCAAACGCGAACGCGATAAGTTGACTCGTGTTTTCCGGTTAACAAGTTAGACAGAATTTGTTGCACCGCGGGTATCGGATCGATACAGGTGCCGTCTAATTAGTCGTTACAAGATTTCTTCCCCGCGGGAATCGCGTTCTCGGTCGGCTCTTTCGGCGCGGCGTTTCTCGTTTCCTCGGCCATCGCGGACCTCTGGGAACGATAAAACTCGCGCGATCGGTTTTTACAAAAATCGGCGATCCCCCGTGGTCGTAATTCGGTTTTACCAGCCGAAATTGCTGCAGGAAACGTTTAACGCGAGGCGAGTCGTATTCTACGGACGGATTTGTCTGGAATTCCAAAGTTCCGGCGAGTCCTTTATTGGAATTTTATACGCGAGCAGTAAATTGCGGAAGATTATGCGTATATATGTATCGCGTTTTACAGGACGAAACACGATGAAACAGAGGTCGCGATAAAAGTAAAAAATATTTTTACAATACTCCGATGCGGTAAGTTTCTACAGATTTCAAGGCAGCTTCGCTCGAACGACTCGACGATAAAATCTTATCGACGCGGATAACGAGCCGCGGTGTAGCTTCTGTTATTTTATACAAATATTCGTCTTTCGGATAAAACTAAATTAAATCTAAATAAAATCCCATATTCTTCGGAGCCTGCATGAATTTTTTATTTCCGACGACCCTGCTCCAAAAATCGCTCGGCGCGCGATAAAAGATATCTCTTGCTAAAAAATTGTTACAAGCTGTACGCGATGTACGAACTTTTAAACAAGGTATCGCTTTAGCAAGAAGAGTTCAACATTTTTTTATATTAGAAAAGATTCGTAAAGATTAGGAGTTCTCGAATTTTGCTCACCACGGTTGACGCGATGTTTCGATAGCAATTGAAACTATTTTTCGCGAGCGAAAGATTTTCTTGGAACCACTTGGGTATAATTATCTTACTCGGATGCTCTCCGAAGCGTTCTTTCGTGGCTCTCGTCGAGTCGAGTCGAGTCGAGTCGAACCGAAGGAAACACTGTTTTCACGTTCCGCAACGTTTCAGGCGTGCTCTGCCCTCGAAATCTGATCGCTGTATGTCATCTTCTCCCACTTTCGCGTCTTCAATCGTCGTTCCCTACTTACGTATCTTGCTCCAAATTGTCAGCTTCGACGCTGTGCACGATCGAGCACCCTCGGTCTCGATTTCCATTCGAAATGCAGCCTTTCGTTTTTAAAGGCGACATAGAACTTTGGAATTTCTGCAAGAATTATGCATCGTTATTGGCGTAAAGAGGATAAATGAAAAATCAAAATCGATCGTTCTCGCTTCGCGCATCGATAACGTAGCGGTCCAAGTTCGATCGAGCAGAAGCAAGTGTACCGGAAACGTTCTCTGTTTAGAATTTTTCTTACGATTGTATTATCCTCGCGGATGAGAGAATAAATAATTTTAGCGGCAGTCTCACGATGTAGACGGTAGAGTTAGCGACGGTAGACTCGTTGTTTAAATTGTCAGAAACTAGATGGTCGAATAACGATGTTTATACCCCGGAGCGAAACGGACCCGAGCTCCACTCTCCGAGTCGTTAATTTTGAAAGTATTATCCTAATAGAGCGTGTGTTTCGATCGAAAGACGCCGATCGGAATCGAAGACGTTTAGCGGCGGAAGGGCTGGCAGGAACGAGAAGGAATTTCTAATCGGAGGTGGTCGGCGGAATGCTATAGAAGTAATAAACCTCCGATTCTGACCTTGAAGACATTCTTGCGCCTGACTGTACATACCTGTCCAGTCAGCTGTCCGTTCCAGACGATCTTCCAAAGAGACCTACAGGACTCGTCTCGACTCGAGTCGACTCGAACGATCCCTCGGGGTTAGGGCCCCCGATAGGAGGAAGAAGCCTCAGCTGTTTGCCAATGGAAGCCGTAGGATTCTTTCTACTATGTCTACCTCGACCCGCAGGCTGCTCCGTGGCGCAACAGCGAACAGAAACGCCGTCGGCTGTTACTGGATACAGTCGCGTACGCTAGGGGAGGGCCCTGACACGTATCTTATCAGTTTCTTTGGAGTTCGCGCTCCACGGGTCGGCTTTGACCCGGGA